AGATTTTCCTTGTTTCCTGAGGTAGGCCTGTAATGCTATGAATTTCCCTCTTAGAACTGCTTTTGCTATATCCCATAGATTATGGATTGTCACTTTTTCATTTTCATTTGTCTCAAGGTACCTTTTGATTTCTTTCTTAATCTCATTGTTAACCTATTCATTGTTTAGGAACATGGTATTTAGCACTGTGTGTTTTTCAGTTTGTTTTTTCTGTATTCGATTTCTAGTTTCCTACTATGAGGGTTAAAGAAGATGCTTAAAATTATTCCAAGATTTATTGGAGTCTTAGATTTATTGAGTCTTCTTTTACAGCTTAATGCATAGTCTCTCCTGGAAATTGTTCTATGTGCACTTGAAAAAATTGTATATTCTGCCATTTTAGGGTGTAATGCCCTGAAAATATTAATTCAATCCATTTGGTCTAATGAGTCATTGTTTCCTTACTGATTTTTTTTTTTTGGCCTGGTAAATCTGTCTTTTGATGTCAGTGGAGCATTAAAGTCCCCTAAATGACTGTTTTACTGTTGATCTCTCCCTTTATGTCTATCAATATTTGCTTCTTAAATTTAGGTGCTTTTATGTTGGGTGCATGGATTTTTATAAGGGTTATTTGGAACTCCTATGATGGTGCATGCGTTTTTAAAAGGGTTATTTACTCTTAATGGTTTTTTTTTTTTAAATCATTAGTGATGACCATCTGTGTCTCTTGCTATAGCCTTTGTTTTAAAGTCTATTTTGTCTCATTGGCTTTGTTGTTTGTTTTCATTTTCATGAAATATCTTTTTCTATCCATTTACTTTTTGTCTGTGTGTGTCTTTTGTTCAGGGGTGGTTCTCTTGTAGGTGGCATATATAAATTTTGTTATCTTGAACACCTTCAGCTTTTTTTTGAAAAACTATTTCTTACTCAGTTTTAAATGATATCCTTGCTGGGTGGGGTAATCTTGTTTGTAGGTCTTTGCTTTGCATCACTTTGAATATTTTGTGCCATTCCTCTGGCCTGTAGTGTTTCTGTTGAAAAATCAGCTGCCAGACTTATGGGAGCTCCTTTGTATATAACTAACGATTTTCTCTTGATACTTTTAAGATTATCTCCTTATCTTTAACCTTTGCCATTTTAATTATGAAGTGTCTTGGCTTGGGCCTCTTTGGGTTCATCTTGTTTGGGACTCTGTGCTTCTTGGACTTGTAAACTTTTTTCTAAGTAGGTTAGGATAGTTTTCAGTGATTATTTCTTCAAATAGTTTTTCAATTCCTTGCTCCCTGTCTTCTTCTGGTACTTCTATGGTGTGGATATTGTTAGGCCTGATGGCCCTAGACAATTCTTAGTTGTTTTTTGTTGTTATTGTTTGTTTGTTTTAGCAGTAGTCACGTCTTGGATGAACCTCATTGGCTGTGATACTGCTCCTGTTTAAAGCTCAGTTTGTTTTTCTTTATGGTGTTGTTGTTGGGTGTTTTCTACTACCTTGTCCTTCAAGTCACTGATTTGGCCCTCTGCTGTATCTCATCTGTTGTTGATTCATCTTAGTGTATTCTTCATTTCAGATATTGCATTCTTCATTTCTGTCTGGTTCTTTTAATTGTTTCTCTGTTCTTTGTTATGCTATCTTTTTAAGTTCCGAGTACATCCGTTTTTGCCATAAGTTCATTGAGTATCATAACCATTATTTCAAACTGTGTATCTGATAGCTTGCTTGCCTCCATTGTACTTAGTTCTTTCTGTGGGGATTTCTCCTGTTCTTTCATCTGGGGCATGTTTCTTTGTCTCTTCATTTTGTTAGCCTCTCTGTGTTTCTTTCTCTCCGTTAGGTAGATCTGCTATGTCTCCCAGTCGTGGTATAGTGGCCTTATGTAGTATCTCGTGGGGCTCAGTTGTGCGTCTCCCTAATCACCTGGTCTTGGTGCTCCAGGAATCTCCCTTGTGTGGGTTATGTGAGCTCTTCTGTTGTAGTTTAGTCTTGATTGCTGTTGGCCTATTTGTGGGTGGTTTTGGCTGTCAGGCTGGCTGGCTATGAGGATTGACCCTCATTACTGTGTCTGAGCTTCTGTGCTGATGTTGACTCCATGAAGTAGAATTCACCCTAGCAGGATCTGGTGCTGGCAAAGATCTTCTTTTTAGTGTGCCACTTTTGGAGCTAATTGGGTTGTGCTCTGGAGTCCATCACTGTGTGTATTGTTTTGGGGGCCTTTGGGGACAGACTGTGGTGCAAGTTAATGTCAGATGCTGCCTATAACCAGCCTTGGGTTACCTGTCTGGAACTACAAAGCAATCCCAGAATTTATCTGCCTCTGCCAGGTCTGGGTACATGTGGGAGGGGCTGAGCTGCTACCAAAGCCTCTTTCCACCTTCTCTGGGCTTGTGGGCAGATTAGCAAGTGTCTCAAGGAACCTGAGGTCCACCTCTGACTGCCAGCTGCCTTATTAGGCTGTTATTGGAAAAGCCATTGCGTTGCATGAGTGGCACTCAGTGAGTGGTGTTCATCTGATTGATAGAGATTTAAACCTGGAGCCAGTGTTGGGTCTGAGGTCACTCAGCAAGTCTGAGGTCATTTAACACCAAAGCCAGCCCTTCCACCTGGGACCTGTGTCCTTTTCTGGTGGGGTAGGGTCTCAGGGAGTCATCGGGATGAGGCCTGCAGAGTTCGCCAGGCTACGACCAAAATTTGGTGTGTGGAGTGGGAGCTCTGCATGGGAACAGAGGTGTGGCTCAGGCACACAGGGAAAAATGGCCCTCCTCTGCAGCCCCATATCTCAGTGTCTTTCCATGTGATGGGCACTATTGAAATCTTCCTGAAACTCATGGAGAGCTCCTCAGTAAAGTCTGTACCATGGGCCCAGCCTGGAGTCTGCAGAAGAGTGGGAGCAATCATGGCCAGGCAGGGCCTCCAGGGGTCAGCAGGGAGGGGCTGTTGCCTCTCCCCAGGCTAATGTTGAATGAAGGGGAGGAGTTGACGATGGCGTGGGAGAGGAACCCAGCACAGGGAGGCTTGCTGCTGTCACTTCAGCCCTACCCCTGTAGCCATGCCACTTAATTTCTCCCTTTATGACTCTGGTTCACCCTGAGCAGTTGTTCCCGTAGAGCCCAGGGTGTTTCCTGTGACTGATCTTCTGTGCACTGACCCATCCCACTTCCTACTGGGTGGGTGGAATCCCTACTGTTTTTCACAGCCAGTCAGAGAAAGACAAATACCATATGCTATCACTTGTATGTAGAATCTAATGAACAAAACAAACTGAGAAACAAAATAGAAACAGAGGCATAGATATATGGAGCAGTTTAGATGCTGTCAGAGAGGAGGGGAGGGGGGCACTGCATGAAAGAAGGTGAAAGGATTAGCCAAAGAACATGTATGCACAACCCATAGATACAACAGGGTGGTGGTGGCCAGGAAGTACAGGGAGAGGGGGCTGGGAGGAGTGGAGGAAAAGGGGACAAGCAGGATATCTGTAAGTGTCAACAATAAAAATTAAAAGAACAGATGTAAATAAGTGCCTACACAGACACATTTTTAAATTTAATGGGTAGCTAACATTTGTAAATTGAAAAACCCATAAAAAGATCTTTGGTTTTTCTCCTTAGAGAATTGAAGTCTGGAGCACTAGGTCTGTATTTCTTGGTAGAGCAAGGTTGTGATTTTGGCCTCTTTAATGGACTGGTATTTTTTAGTTTAGCATTGTCACCACTGTTTCACAGCACCCGGCCTTCTGCCCCAATTTGTGGTATCATTCTGGCACTAGGTTTGTATTTGTGACTTTTATAGTATGCTAACTAGGAAAATTGCTCACCATGTCTGATAGGCCGCTTTTGTAATCTTCTATCCAGAGTTTTTAAAGTTGAGCTAATGTTCTACATATCTTTGTTGGCCAGATCAGCCTCCATTCTTGTTAGGCATGGCAATGTTTTGGGGGTTAAATCTTCTAAACTCTGTTTGCCATAACCCTTTACAGAACAATATCAGTACACCATAGCTTAATTGTGGTCACTGCCCTTTGGCATTTGTTAGGAACTGAATCATTTATAATCTAGTAGTAATTTCTTATAATGAAACAGCCTCATAATTACAAATTAATGTTTAAAGTTAAACATAGATTCCCTTATCATTAATATAATACAGAAATATACTACTGTTAACATATCATATAGTAATTACTTATTAATATAGTGTTATAATTCCACATAATTTGCCCATGAAGCTTAGAAACAGGTCCCCCAAAAATTGTGGATTTGAAACTTGCTAGATGAAATGCCACTGACACATTTGACTAAAATTTTGAATATAATAGTTTTTGTTAACTGGAGGAACCCGGTTTTTTAAAAATGTAAGAAGTTAGCCCTGGCCCTGGCTGGCGTAGCTCAGTGGATTGAGCGCGGGCCTGCGAACCAGAGTATCGCGGTTCAATTCCCAGTTAGGGCACATGCCTGGGTTGCAGGCCAGTTCCCGGCAGGGGACGCATGAGAGGCAACCACACATTGATGTTTCTCTCCCACTCTTTCTCCTTCCCTTCCCCTCTCTCGAAAAATAAAGAAAGAAAATATTTAAAAAAAAAAAAAGAAGTTAGCCCTGACCAGCGTAGCTCAGTTGGTTGAGCATTGTCTTGAAAAATCAAGAGGTTCCCAGTTCGATGCACACATCTCGGTTGCAGGCCCACTCCTGGTTCGGGCACGTGGGACAGGCAGCCAGCTGATATTTCTGTCACATGTCGGTATTTCTTTCCCCTTCTTTCTCTCTCCCTCCCCCTTTCTCGAAAAAGAAGTAAAACGTTTTTTAAAAATGTTAAGAAGTTAAACATGTCTTTCGATGGGATATGTAAGGAGACTTTGCATAATTGGCAATAAGGGTCAGGAGGAAACCCTTTGTGTATTTGTAAGGGGGTATTTTTGTATACTCCTATTGAAGAAAAAAGACAAATTAATTTCCAATTAAATTTACAATGTTCCAAGAGGATTCCTTTATAACCTAATCATTATTTAAAATTGTTTGGTAAATTGTGTCACTTTAGGTAGAGGAAGCTAAACAAGAATTACAGGAAGTTGTGGAATTCTTGAAAAATCCACAAAAGTTTACTGTGCTTGGAGGCAAACTTCCAAAAGGTAAGATATCTTTTTTTTATCAGACTTGATATAAAAAAAATAGTGTAATGTATTACTAACTCAATTTTTATCAGATTTAATTGATTAAAGTTTGGAATTCTTAATTGCTATTTTATAAGTAAGTGCTTATTCTAAATATGGTGGTCTGCATCTTTTTGGGGAGTTTTAAACGTGACCATTTCAAACTTGAAATGAATTTGCAAGAGTAGGACAGAGAACTCTATACTCAACCCAAACTCAACAGTTTAAAGTATTTTGTCCTATTTGCTCATTTACTTTTTTTTGCATGTTTTTTTTAACAGTTGAAAGTTATAAATATTATATCACACATGCTCCTTTACTCCTAAATACCTCATTGTATATTTCCTATGAATAAGGATATTTGTTTTCTACAACTCCAGTACAGTTATTAAAATAAGGAGATTTAGCATTAACCCAAAACTTAACAATTCACAGTCATACTCAGATTTCAGTATTTGTCCCAGTAATACCCTCTGTAGTTTAGTTCCCTCGTTCTCACTCTCACCCTAGGGCTCAGCTCAGGACCCAATCCAGGTTCACATGTAGCATTTAGATTTTTCTTTAATCAGAAAAAATTCCTCAGTCTTTTTTTATAGGGTTGTGGATATTTTATGATCTTAAAAAGTTCTGTAGGGTACACAAAATTTTGTAGAATGTCCTCAGTTTGGTTTTGTCTAGTGTTTTCTCACAGATACTCAATATGATTTTTAATTACTATGTGACATTGTGATTTATAATAAAAATACATTTTGTCTCAATCACTGTCTCAGACACAGAGCTCCTAAAACTCTTGGAATTTTACAGTGAAGAAAGCAATGAAGATATGTTTTGTTGTAATGATGGGGTAACTTTTGGAACACACCTGAGGGATGGAGGGCAGGTTGCCAGGAGAATCTACCCTGTGCTTAAAATGTTGGAATATTTAGTACTGCCCACCTGCCCATTTCCCCCCGAGAGGGGCTGTATGTTGAACCAATGTCCAGTGTCCAATGTCAGTCATATCCGTGTAATGAGGTCTCCGTAAAAACAAAGAAGGATGGGGTTTGTTTGCCCTACATTCTGGCTGTTCTTTAGTTAAGAATACTATAATAAACCAGTAATCTCCTAAGGAAATGTTTCTCAGAGTTCCGTGAGCTGCTCTTGCTGATTAATCATACCCAAGGAGGGAGACATTGGAACTTCTAACTAGCTTGTTGATCAGTACAGGAAACAACCTAGTCTTGCTACTGAGATACCAAGTGGGGAGGGAAGACTGAGTTCTTAACCTGTGGGATCTAATGCTGTTGCTAGATACATAGTGTCAGAATTGACTTAAATTGTAGGATATCCATCTGATGTTAAAATTGCTTGTCAGTGTGAAGGAAAAACCCACATACTGGAATTGGGTACAGAACTGTAATGAATTTATGGTGTCCTTCTATATGGTTGTACTATGCTTTAATGATTTATATTGAAATTTTAAGTATTTCTAATCTTTTACTATTGAAATTAGCACTGTGATGATCATCTTAACATCTTAAGGCTTTGTTCACATGCTTAATAATTTTCTTAGGACAAATTCTAGTTTTGTTAATTTGTCCTTTATAGATTATTATAGATTCCAATGCTGGAAATAGAGACCACGGGTTCAAGAGGGCATTCCTGTTTTTAAGGCTTGTTTTTTACATTCTGTTATATCTCTACTGAGAATGTTCAGTAGTATATAAAAATAATACACACAAGTCTTTGCTAATTTAGTATTCATTTATTAAATCAATACTGCAGTGTCATAGGAAGCATATTTAAAACCATAAAAATAATTACATTTTTCTTTCTGGTCACAAGGAATATTTTATAAATTTATGGGGAAGTCCTCAGGTACTAAGATATAATCTCCAGAATTTGATAGATGATAATTTAAACCAGCTAGGAACCATAATAATATGAAAATACAAGAATAATACATTTCTTAAGTGCTCACCCAAGGATATGTTTATTGATTTTAGAACTAGAGGAAGAGGGGAAAGAGAAATACTGATGTGAGAGAAACATCGGTTGGTTGTCTCCCTCCTGCACATAACCCCTGCTGGGGACCGAGCCTACACCCTTTTAGTGCGCAGAACAGCGCTGCGACCAGTGAGCACCTGGCCTGGGCTAGGCGTAATCTCAAGGGTATTTTTGAGCTGTACTTAAAATGAGATTCTTAATGTTAAAATACATCATTAATACAGTTTTTTGCGTCCTGGCTGGTGTAGCTCAGTGGATTGAGCATAAGCCTGCGAACCAGAGGATCGAGGTTCAATTCCCAGTCAGGGCACATGCCTTGGTTGCAGGCCGGTTCCCTGCAGGCCAGTTCCCAGCAGGGGACACACGAAAGGCAACCATACATTGATGTTTCTCTCCCTCTCCCCTTCCCCTGTAAAGATAAATAAATAAAATCTTTATAAAAAAATACAGTTTTTTACCTTTAATAAATGTAGTCTGAAAAATACTACAATGGAAAGACTATGTTTGTAGTCTTCAAACATATGGAAAAGTCAGAAAGTTGTAGACATTAAGTACTTTAAATAATCTGTTATGCATCACCCAAGAATAAGGACATTGTCCTAAATAAATGATCATTTATCCCAGCAAGTAATACTCAACCCTATTTTCTTTTTAAAAATATTTCATTGTTTATTCTATTAAAGTTATCCCATCCTATTTTCTTAATATCATGTACTCTTCAGTATTTTTCAAATGTTTGTCAGATGTTTCTGGAACTTTTTAAAATGTGTTTTTCGTGGAAGAATATCAGTTTAAGGTTTGTGCATTACTTGTTTGTTGTCTAGTCTCTTAAACTCTTTTTATCTGAATTTTATCTTGTTTAATGATAAGTTTATTATTTCTTTTTTTGAAGATTTGTTCTTGTTTATGTCTGATATGTAGACAGTACTTAGATATACAAGAAAATGAGTTATGGAGAAGATCCTGAAGTGAATCATTAGTTGAGAAAAATGTTTTGTTCTGTTTCAAATTATTGGGCATTGATATGCCTTTAACCTCAAAATTATAAAAATTAATAACTTTGGTTTTTAGATTTATATCAGGATTTGTTTTTGTTTCTTTTTTCTTTAATTTGAGTCATTCTTTTATACTATTTTTTTCCTTTTAGGAATTCTTTTAGTTGGACCACCAGGAACAGGAAAGACACTTCTTGCCCGGGCTGTGGCCGGAGAAGCTGACGTTCCTTTTTACTATGCTTCCGGATCAGAATTTGATGAGATGTTTGTGGGTGTGGGAGCCAGCCGCATAAGAAATCTTTTTAGTATGTTTTAATGTATCTTTTATACAATACTAATTTTTTTTATTTCAGTGAAGGGGAGGGTTCCTTTCTTTTATTTTAGATTTTGTTTATTTATTTTTAGAGAAGGGGAAGGGAGGGGGAGAGAGGGGGAGAGAAACACTGATATATGAGAGAAACATGGATGGGTTGCTTTTTGCACAACCCCAACTGGGGATCTGCTGGCAACCCAGGCATATGCCCCAATGGGGTGAACTTGCAGTTTTCAGGACAGTGTCCAACCCACCAAGCCTCACCAGTCAGATCAGAAGAGGGTTTCTTTCTTTTTTTGTAAAAAGATTTTATTTATTTATTTTTGGAGAGACGAGAAGAGAGGGAGAAAGAGAGGGAGGGAAGGAAACATCAATGTGTGTTTGCCTCTTGCACACCCCCTACCAGGGACCTGGCCCACAACCCAAGCATGTACCCTGACTGGGAATCAAACCCATGACTCTTTGGTTCACAGGCTGGCACTCAGTCCACTGATCCACACCAGTTAGGGCAGAAGAGGGTTTCTTACACTTTGTTTGCTACTTAAGATTTATAGTGAGCTGAAATAGCTATTGTTCTGTTTTCAGGTAAAATACATGTGTGAGCTAAAACAGAACTGTACTTTTTTCCCCAAATATAGTCAGAATAGCTAGTGGTAGTGTTAGATGTGGTTGGAGACTGTGGAAAAGCTATTTTTTTTTAATTAAATTCATCATTTCTGTAGTATGTAATTAACCTCTGATGGCTGTGTAAGGTTTCTACAACTAGAAATAAAGAGTGAATGAATACTTCGTTGTTTTTATTATATATCATTCTTTATAGTATACTTTTCTTCTGAGGCTATTATTCTTTAATCAGTTTTTAAAAAACTGAAATCTTTTCCTGTATATTTTGTCCCTAATGAATATCTTTTGACAATCTTATAGGTTTTTAATATTATGATTTTCTTCAGAAAGTGTTGATTTTATTAAACTTATTTGAATCTTCTGTTTTCCTAGGGGAAGCAAAAGCGAATGCTCCTTGTGTTATATTTATTGATGAATTAGATTCTGTTGGTGGAAAACGAATTGAATCTCCAATGCATCCATATTCAAGGCAGACAATAAATCAACTTCTTGCTGAGATGGATGGGTAATGACTCTTCCTGCCTTTCCAGTATGGTGATATATTTGGTAACATTCAAGAGAGGAAAAATGTTATGTTATTATAGGCAACAGAGTAGTCCCTCATGCAAGAAGTCAAGACAAGCTATTCTCAGGATTGTATTGTTTTTCATTCTAATGGGATAATTAATGTGCCAACTCCTTTTAATTTGTGATATTTACATATTTTTAACGTTTAATGTATTGTGACAGGAAGGCAGCGATTCCTGCTGAGACTAGTAGCCTAGTCCCTGCACTATTTGTGACCAGACTGGAGTGCTGACATACATTAAAAGCTTGCATCAGCATTCATAATATACAAAGGAGAAGTTGAGGTTATGTTTGAGGTTGCTTTGAAAGAAGCAAAAAAGTTTGTTGTATATATATATATATATATATATGAGACATTTTGGAACTAAATAGGAAGTCTAGGAGCAAATAATTTGAATTGATAAACTTGAAAATAATTTTTCAAAAATTAGATGCCCAAGCTTTTTTGTGTCAGGACATTTCTTCCTAAGTAGAACAAATATTTTGCAGGTACATAATTACAGGTGATTTGGTAATTTATTATTAGCAGTTTTATTGATGTACACTGGCATAACATTTGTTCCTTTTAAGAAATAGAGATACCATTTGGGACATAAAAAATACTAGTCCATTTTCTTTGCTGTTAAGATTAATGTTAAACAGTTTTATGTTAAATATTTGTATATGTGTGTTGTTTTAATCTTTAGTGAAAAGATACTATTTTTTTAATAGTTTCAAACCCAATGAAGGAGTTATCATCATAGGAGCCACAAACTTCCCAGAGGCATTAGATAAGTAAGTATTAAAAGATTTTTGTGACGTACTGATACATGCTGGAACGTGGATGAACTTTGAAAACATTATGCTAAGAGAAGGAATCCCATCAAAAACACCACATATAGTTCCATTTATATGAACTGTCCACTGTACATAAGTCCATAGCAGTAGAAAGTAGATAGAGTAGGGGTTGCCAGTGGTTGGGGAGATCGAGAAATGACTGCCAGTGGGTATAGGGTTTCTTTTTGAAGGGGTATGAAAATATTTTGCCATTCGATTGTGGTGATGGTTTCACATTCTAAATATATTAGATATTTGCATTTTATAATGCATTTTATTTATGTTTTAAATTACAAGACAATGTTTATTTAGAAAGCCAAAGACATAGAAAAGGTGAGCCAGCTAGGCTGCATGGTCTCAGGAAACAAGTCAGCAGAGGCAAAAGAAGGGCCCTTGGGGCTCAGGAGAGAGGCAGAATGTGCCCAGGGTGAGAGAAGAAGGAAGACACTGGCGTTCTCAAAAGAGGGTGCAGGGATTACTCACTTTACATTTGCTGGCATGTGAGTTGTATCTCCTGAAACCTACTAAAAGAACCTTCTGACAACTTATATACCACACAGACTTTTTTGGGTGGAGAGCATTTTGAAAATAAAATGCACTGTAGTTTTAATTTTTGTTGATGTTTTATAGAAGTTAGTCATACTTTTATTTCACCTAATGGTTTGTCTTTGCCTGAGACTCTAGTTTAACATTCTGCACTCACAGAAGTTAAGATGGGTAAGTGGCTCTCATAATAGACATGTGTAGAATTATTGGTTCCCTGCCTGACTGACTTACACATTTTTATTTCTGGCGGTTGTATACTATCTAGATGCACACATATATTTGCGTATATCATTGATCTGCCTTCTGGTTGTTGAAGCTTATATGTGAGCCATTTTTACAAGGAACTAGCTGATACTTATGTTCAAAACTCCTTCTAACCTCTGGATGCATTGCCTTTCCATCCTCTCCTTAGAGGGGTCGTCCTGTTTAATGTGACATAGACAACTTAACAATTTTCATTTGTTTTGTATTCTTCCTTTAGCGCCTTAATTCGTCCTGGTCGATTTGACATGCAGGTTACAGTTCCAAGGCCAGATGTAAAAGGCCGAACAGAAATTTTGAAGTGGTATCTCAATAAAATAAAGTTTGATCAGTGTAAGTGTAATCCCATGATACAAACATTGTTATCTTCACAAAATGGTAATAAGTCAGTCTACCTTGTTCGTGCTTCTTACTTGATCAGTGTCTTAAAAGACTAGTTCCTTTATTTCTTTTTTTCTTCCATTTACATAGCCTTAAGAAAAAGTCCATTTTCTAATTAATGTATATTCAGGAGATTTTATCATTTAGAATCCTGCTTCTAATGAAAGTTATCTTTTGAGTATCCACATAGATAATATTTGAAGATGAATACATGTATGTTTTTAAGATGAATGTAAAATATGAAATGATGGAAAAAAGTGTCTGTATATTTATTATGAGCATAGTACCTCATGATATAATCACTTTGGTAGCAAAGGAGGAGAAAGCCACCTGTAAAAACACAAAGGAAGGAAACATCCTAGACCAACCTGAATAATAAAATTCAGCTATTGAAGTTGCAGTATCTTCAGACAAATCAGAATCAAGTGATAAAACCAAGTATGTGTCCTGTAGTAAACGGTGCTTTCATGCCCAAAGTATTCCAAGGTGAAACTTAGAAAACAAATTGTTGTCTGTGATTATGCTTTTTGGATTTGTTGTTTGGCCAGTAAAGATATAGTTCATAATTACAGGTTTTAAAATTGTCCGATTAGTCTACATTTCTTTATTTTTCACAAAGTTATTTAACCTTAACTTTTGTGATTGACCCAATGGCAATTTTAATGGCATATTTAATAGCAATTTTGGTCTTCTTCTCTTAGAATTTAGTAAAGTATGTTTATTGTTTAGTATCAGTAAAATAAAAATTTTAGCCCTTGCTGGTTGGCTCAGTGGATTGAGCACTGACCTGCAAACCGAAAGGTCACTGGTTGAATTCACAGTCAGGGCACATGCCTGGGTTGCAAGCCAGGTACCCAGCTGGGGACGTGCAAGAGGCAACTGATTCATGAACCTCGCACACATTTATGTTTTCTTTCCCTTTCTTCATACCTTCCCTTCTCTTTAAAAGTAAATAAACAAAATCTTCAAAAAGAATCAACTAGTGAATGCATTAATAAGGTGAAACAGCAACTCAATGTTTCTCTCTATAAAACTGAATAAAAAATACCCCCTGGCTGGTGTAGCTCAGTGGATTGAGCACAGACTGTGAACCAAAGGGTCACCAGTTCGATTCCCAGTCAGGGCACATGCCTGGGTGTGGGCCAGGTCCCCAGTGGGGGCCACATGAGAGGCAACCACACACTGATGTTTCTGTCTCTCTTTCTCCTTCCCTTCCCCTCTGTCTAAAAATAAAAATAAATAAAATCTTTAAAAAAAGAATAAAAATAAATGTAAAAGATAGATATTTTAAATTACAGTTCATGATGGCTGTTTTCTGGAAATTTGAGTTCTTTGTGACAAGCTTTGTGTTCATTGTTTTGCAATTTTAATATTGTGTTCATGTGTCTATGTAGCTGTTGATCCAGAAATCATAGCTCGAGGTACTGTCGGCTTTTCTGGAGCAGAGTTGGAGAACCTTGTGAACCAAGCTGCGTTAAAGGCAGCTGTTGATGGAAAAGAAATGGTTACCATGAAAGAACTAGAGTTTTCCAAAGATAAAATTCTAATGGGTAGGTTGTTTTTTTTTGTATCTTACACTATTCAGTATGTTAGAGAATAAATCCATTTTGAGATATTACGAAAAACAAAGATAGAGGAACATGAAAATTTTTATTTGGATGTAGTGAAACAATTTGTTCTCTTGTAAGGCATATATAGATTTTATAATTATACTTTCTGGGAGACATGGATATGCATGTTCTCACACTTGATATTGCTGAGAGAAAAGAATGGTTAATTTTACTCTTTTGAGTATTTAGTTTTTAATTTACATTTTGAATTGACTTCAAAACAAGTTAATTATGATAATTCCTTTTAAATTGGAAGTTCATTTTCTAGAAATGGAATTAAGCTTTCTTTTTTGATATAAGGATTAAGGTGACAGTTCTAATAATTTTTGTTTTCAGTTGAAATTGTACTTTACAACATCTGTCCAGAAAAAGTCCTGCCATTGTTAATATAATGAGAGTGGTTTGTATGACATCGATATAACCTGGCAGCCAAGGAGAGTGGACTGGAATGCACATGTGTGAACAATGATGACTTCACTGTACTAGTCAGTGGGGGTGGTAGACACTGTTGAGTGAGCATGTGTACTGTGTGGCCATCACATTTAAAAGCACTGAGTGAATAGAGCAATGAATCTGCCTCATATTTTTGTTGTGAAAGCTATTTGGATGATTCAGAAGGCCACAGCTTTGGGCAGCTGGTGACTGGCAGCTTCATCACAACCATATGCCCACTCAGGCATCATGTCTCCTATAGAGTTTTTTGGCAACACATTAAATTACCCTGGTGACTCAGCCCTGCTGCAGAGCAGATTTGTCACCCTGTGACTTCTGGCTTTTCCCAAAACTAAAATGAGATCCAGGAAAGCAGGACAGGGCAGATAAGGGTGATTGGAAGAACTGTGTGAGGTCCCAAGATGGCTACTTTGAAGGGGACTGAGGCGTCATTGTCCTATGTACAATGTCTCTTGTATCTTGTACCTTCTTCAATAAATGCCTGTAGCCTTCTGGCCAAGATGGAGGCGTAGGTAGATATACTTTGCCTCTTTGCACAACCAGAAGATGGACAACAACAAATTTAAAAACAAAACATAACCAGAACTCCCAGAAAATCCAACTGCATGGGAGTTTGATAACTCACAGAGTTGGTAAAGAAGAAACATTTGATGCTTCCAGCCAAGATGTAGGTGTAGGTGGGAACGCTATACCTCCTCGCACAATCAATTTTAAGGACAACAAAGATTTAGAAATAAAAACACAACTAAAACAGACAGAAAATGGAACTGTACTGAAGTCTGACAACAACGAACCATTCATCCAGACCGGTAAGAAGGGCGAAGTTGGTGGCTGGCAGGAGGGCTCACGGCACGAAAAAGCACTGGCTGCTGGATTGCCCCAGACATGCAGGCAGCAGTTTGAAGATCCCAGGCAAGGGGTGGCAACAGGCAGACCCAGCGAGGGCACAAGGTGGATGGCTGACCACAGTCCCACGTTCACGCGCAGATAAACCAGGCATAAAAACAGACAGCGAGACAGGCTGGGCAACCCAAGGCCCCAGCGAGAGAAATTAAAGCCTAAAAGCACCGATTGGAAAAACTTTCAGGGGTTGAGGTTCCAGGAGAGGCTCCCAGCCTCACAGGAGAGTTCGTTAGAGCAACCCACAGGGTCCTAGAACATACACAATCCTACACACCCGGGAACAAGCACCCGAAGGGCCCAATTTGCTTGTGGGAAGCAGCAGAGGGGACCAAAATCCGAGAGAGATCAGAAGAAACTCCATTTCTCCTTCTCTGAACCCACCCCCAGTCACAACCCAGTTACCGGGTTGTCCTGCCCTGGTGAACACCTAAGCTTTCGCCCTCATATGTAACAGGTAATAACAGTTCAGAACATTATGCCTCAAGCAAAAGAATAGCTCAAAGCCCCAGAGCCAATACTTCTAAGCGGTTAAGAGATAGCCAACCTATCCGATGCACAGTTCAAAACACTGGTGATGGTGATGCTCTCAGAACTGGTTGGTTTTAGTTGCGAATTGGATGAAAAAATGAAGGCTACACTAAGTGAAATGAAGCAAATTGTACAGGGAACTACAAGTGATGGAAACAAAACTGGCACTAAAATCAGTGGAGTGGACCAGAAAGTAGAAAGAAACAACCAAGCAGAAAAGAATGAAGAAATAAGAATGCAAAAAAAAGGACAGGCTTAGGAACTTCCAGGACACCTTTATAAATGTTACAACGTCTGAATTATAGGGGTATCGGAAGGGGGAGAGGAAGAGCAACAAGTGGAAAACTTATTTGGACAAATAATAAAGGAGAATTTCCCCAATCTGGCAAAGCCAATAGACTTCCAGGAAGTCTAGGAAGCTCAGAGAGTCCCAAAGAAAGTAGACCCAAAGAAACACACCAAGGCACATCATAATTACATTAGCCAAGATTAAAATGAAGGACAGAATTCTAGAAGCAGAAAGAGATAAGGGGACAATCATCTACAAAGAAGATCCCATCAGACTGTCAGCTGATTTCTCAAAAGAGACCTTACAGGCAAGAAAGGGCTGGAAAGAAGTATTCCAAGTAATGATAGGTGAGGACATACATACATGCAAGATTGATCTATCCAGCAAAGCTTTCATTTAGAATGGAAGGGCAGATAAAGTGCTTCTCAGATAAGATCAAGTTCAAGGAGTTCATCATCACCAAGGCCTTATTATATGAAATGTTAAAGGGACTTATCTAAGAAAAAGAAGATAAAAAATATGAACAGTGAAAGAACAGCAGGCAGTTATTAACAACCACACCTAAAACAAAAGCAAACTAAGAGGACAGCTAGATCAGGAGCAGAACCATAGAAATGGAGATCCCATGGAGGGTTAGCAACAGGGGAGTGGGAGGAGGAGAAGGGGGGAGAAGGTACACAGAATAAGCATAGATGGTAGGTAGAAAATAGACGGGGGAGGGCAAGAGTAGTGTGGGAAATGTAAAAGCTAAAGAACTTGTGACACATTGACATGAACTAAAGGGGAGGAATGGGTGGGAGGGGGTTGCAGTGTGGTGAGAAATGGGACAATCATAATGGCATAATCAAACATCCGGAGTAGTGGGATGGGCAGCTGGGCAAAGAGGACTCTGGGCAAGTTGGCAGCTGGTGGAGTGGACGGTCCCACATTTTTGAGAGGGTAAGTGAGGAGGAAAAAATAGGGAGCAAGACGGTGTAACCAAGGGTTCCATTGTAGGGAAATAAACCCTCAATACCTGTGACTGAAAGAAACCTGGGAGCATTGAGGTAGCAGAAGAAATTCCCAGCGTCACAGGAGAGGAAATTGAAGAGGTCTACAGGCTTCTAGAACATACAGAAAACCACCCACCTGGATATGAGCCCCAGAAGGACCCAATTTTTTGTGTGTAGTGGAGTAAGTAACTGAAAGCCAGCCATGAGATGAGCAGGTAGCATTTTTCCTTCTTGGAACCCTCCCCCACATACAGGGCCACAATTTAGAGACATGGGTTGCCCCACCCTGGTAAATACCTAAGGGTCCGCTTCTTACTACAGACAGTTGGCGCAGGCCAAAAAATATGGCCCAAATGAAAGAACAGATCAAAGCTCCCAAAAAATACAACTGAGCAATGAGGAGATAGCCAACCTGTCAAAGTTCAAAACACTGGTAATCAGGATGCTCAGAAAAATGTCAGTGTATGGTGGCAATATACAGGAAAAAGTGAGGGCTATGAAAAGTGAAATAAAGGGAGCCAACAGTGAAGGGAAGGAAACAGGGATTCAGATCAGTAGTTTGGAACAAAAGAAAGAAAGAAATGATGATCCAGAACAGAAAGAAGAAACAGTTTTTAAAAATGTGGGGTGGCTCAGCACCCTTCAGGACAATTTTAAATGTTTCAATATTCAAATCATAGAGGTGCTAAAAGGAAAAGAGGAAGAGCAAGGAGTTGAAAACATATTTGAAAGCATAATGAGAGAGAACTTCCCGAATCAGGCAAAGGAAATAGACTTCCAGGAAGTTCAGAGTCCCAAAGAAGTTGGACCCAAGGAAGCAAACAGCAAGGCACATCATAATTATATTATATTACATTAAAGATGAGAAAATCTTAAAAGTAGTAAGAGAAAAGAGACAGTTACCTACATAGGAGTGCCTAAAAGACTGTCTGTTGATTTGTAGAAAGAAACTTGCAGACAGGAAGGGGCTGACAGAAAGGATTCAAAGTCATGAAAGGCAAGGACCTACATCCAAGATTACTTTCGCCAGCAAAGCTATCATTTAGAATGGAAGGGCAGATAAAGTGCTTCCCAGATAAGGTCAAGTTAAAGAATTTCTTCATCACCAAGCCCATATTAAAAGAAATATTAAAGTGACTTATCTAAGAAAAATATAAATATGAACAGTAAAATGACAACAAACTCACAACCATCCATGACTGAACCTAGAGAAACAAAAACAGACCAAGCACACAACTTGAATGGGAACAGAATCACAGAAATAGAGATAACATGGAGGGTTATGGGGGAGAGGCAGGAGGGGAGAATGGGGGAAAAGGTACCGGGATTAAGAAGCATAAATGGTAGGTACAAAACAGAGAAGGCAGAGAACTTGTGTGTATGACCCATGGACATGAAACAAGGGGGGAATGCTGTTGGAAGGTGGGTACCAGGTGGAGGGGAATAAAGAGGAAGATAAAGATGGGACAGCTGTTAATAGTATAATCAATAAAATATATTAGAAAATAAATGCCTCTATATTTCGTATTACATGGCTGAATATTTTCTGGACAGACCTTTAATATGTACAATTCTACTTATTTTGAAACTTTTGCTTAAAATATTTTTAGTCATATTAAATCATATTCCTTTAAGAACAACTTTGAGGCCAGTTGGCTTTATTCACTTAAATAGACCTCTCTAATGGAATGTTTTACCTGATTAAATATTTGTCCGTAGGTCCAGAGCGTAGAAGCGTGGAAATTGATAACAAAAACAAAACTATCACCGCATATCATGAATCTGGCCACGCTATCATTGCATATTACACTAAAGATGCTATGCCGATCAACAAAGCCACCATCATGCCCCGAGGGCCAACACTTGGGCATGTAAGTACTTTGTAGGTTTGTTCACTTTCTTTTTCTCTTCTTTTTTTAAAGTAATAACTTCTTTATCTTTTTTATTTAATTATTGTTCAAGTACAGTTTTCTGTTTTTTACTCCCAGCCCACCTCCTCACCTCCCTCCCATTTCCCCCCTCGCCTTAGTTTTTGTCCATGTGTCCTTTATACTTGTTTCTGTGAATCCTTCCCCTTTTCCCCTGAAATTCTCTTCCCTCTCTCTCTTGTCCCTGTTAGCCTGCTCTGTATTTCAGTGTCTTTGGTTATATTTTGCATGATTGTTTCTTTTGTTGTTTAGGGTCCTGTTAAAGGTGAGATCATATGGTATTTGTCTTTCAACACTTGGCTTATTTCACTCAGCATAATGCTTTCCAGTTCCATCCATGTTGTTGCAAAGGGTGATAGCTCCTTCCTCTCTGCTGCATAGAATTCCATTGTGTATATGTACCACAATTTTTTGATCCGTTCATTTACTGATGGGCACCTAGGTTGCTTCCAACTCTTGGCTATTGTAAATTGTGCTGCTATGAACATTGGGTGCATAGGTTCTTTGATATTGATGTTTTAGGATTCTTAGGATATACTCCTAACAGTGGAATTGCTGGGTTAAAAGGCAGATTCATTTTTAGTTTCCTTAGAAAATTCCATACTGTTTTCCATAATGGTTGTACCAGTCTGCAATCCCACCAACAGTGGACTAAGGACCCCTTTTCCCCACAACCTCTCCAACATTTGTTGTTTGTTGCTTTGTTTATGATGGCCATTCTGACCTAGTGTAAAGTGGTATTTCATTGTGGTTTTAATTTGCATCTCTCTGATAGCTAGCAATATTGAGCATCTTTTCATGTGTCTCTGGATCCTCTGTATGTCCTCCTTGGAGAAGTGTCTGTTCAAGTCCTTTGCCCATTTTTTTAATTGAGTTGGTTGTCTTCTTAGAGTGGAGTCATGTGAGTTCATTGTATATTTTGGAGATTAAATCTTTGTCTGAGGCCCTGGCTGGTGTAGCTCAGTGGATTGAGCATGGGCCTGCGAACCAGGTGGTCGAGGTTCAATTCCCAGTCAGGGCACATGCCTGGGTTGTAGGCCAGTTCCCAGCGGGAGACACATGAGAGGCAACCATACATTGATATTTCTCTCCCTCTCTCCTTCCCTTCCCCTCTAAAGATAAATGAGTAAAATCTTTAAAAAAAAACACAAAAAAGACCTTTGTCTGAGGTATCATTGGCAAATATGTTTTCCCATACAATTGATTCTCTTTTTATCTTAATACTGTTTTCTTTAGCCATGCAGAAGCTTTTAATTTTGATGAGATCCCATTTGTTTATTCTTTCCTTTATGTCCCTTGCTCTAGGGGACATACCAGTAAAAATGTTGCCGTGTGAAATATCTGAGATTTTCCTGCCAATGTTCTCCTCTAGGATTTTAATGGTGTCACAGCTGATATTTAAGTCTTTTATCCACCTTGAATTCATTTTGGTGTATGGTGTAAGTTGATGCTCAAGTTTCGTTTTTTGCATGTAGCTTTCCAGGTATCCCAATAACATTTGTTGAAGAGGCTATTTTTACTTCATTTTATGCTATGCCCCCTTTGTTGAATATTAATTGCCCGGAGACACTTGGGTTTATATCTGGGCTCTCTGTTCTGTTCCATTGGTCTATGTGCCTGTTTTTATGCCAGTACCACGCTGTTTTGATTATAGTGGCCTTGTAATAAGTTTGGTATCAGGCATTGTGATCCCTCCTACTTTGTTCTTTCTCAAAATTGCAGCTGCTATTCGGGATTGTTTATGGTTCCATATAAATTTTTGAAGTGTTTGTTCTGTGAAATATTCCATTGGTACTTTAATAGGTATTGCATTGAATCTGTAAATTGCTTTGGGTAGTATGGACATTTCGATGATGTTAATTCTTCCAATCCATGAACAAGGTATATGTTTCCATTTGTTTGCGTCTCCCTTGATTTCTCTCTTCAGTGCTGTGTAGTTTTCTGTATACAGGTCTTTTACCTCCTTGGTTATATTTATTCCCAGATATTTTATTTTTCTTTTTTCTATATCGAATGGGATTCTTTTCTTGATTTTTGCTTCTGCTGCTTCATTGTCGGTATCCAAAAATGCCTTTGATTTCTGGATATTGTCTTTGTATCCCGCTGTTTTGCCAAATTCATTTATTAGTTTGAGAAGTTTTGGGGTGGAGTGTATAGGATTTTCCATGTACGCTATCATGTCATCTGCAAACAGTGACAGTTTTGTTTTCTCCTTTCCGATTTGGATGCCTTTTATTTTATTTTCTTTCCTGATCTCTGTAGCTAAAACTTCCCAGTACTATATTGAATAGAAATGGTGAAAGTGGACAACCTTGTCTTGTTCCTGATCATAGTGGAAAAGCTTTTAGTTTTTGCCCATTGAGTATAATGTTGGCTGTAGGTCTCTCGTGTATGGCCTTTATTATATTGAGGAATGCTCCCTCTATTCCCACTTTGCTGAGTGCTTTTATCATAAATGGGTGATGTACCTTATCAAAAGCTTTTTCCGCATCTGTTGATATGATCATGTGATTTTTGTCTTTGCTCTTGTTTATGTGATGTATTACATTTACTGATTTTAGAATATTGAACCATTTTTGCATCCCTGGGTTGAATCCCACTTCGTCATAGTTATGAATTGTCTTTTTAATGTATTGTTGGATGCGATTTTCTAATATTTTGTTGAGGATTTTAACATCTATGTTCATGAGCAATATTGGCCTAAAGTTTTCTTTCTTTGTTGGGTCTTTACCTTGTTTTGGAATTAGGATGATGCTGGCTTCATAAAAAGAGTTTGACAGTCTTCCATCCTGTTGGATTATTTGGAATAGTCTGTGAAGAATAGGGGTTAACTCTTCATTAAATGCTTTGTAGAATTCTCCTGTGAAACCATCTGATCCAGGGCTTTTGTGTGACGGGAGTTTTTTTGTTACTGCTTCAATTTTATTTGCTGTTATTGGTCTGTTCAGGTTTTCTGCTTCTTCATTGCGTTTTGGAAGATTATATTTTTCTAGAAATTTGTCCATTTCACCTAGGTTTTCAAATTTCTTACAATCCCTTCTATTTCTGTGGTGTCAGTTGTAATCTCTCCTCTTTCATTTCTGATTGTGTTTATTTGAGTCCTCTCTCTTCTTTTCTTGATGAGCCTACTTAATGGCTTGTCGATTTTGTTTATGTTTTCAAAAAACCAGCCCCTGGATTCATTGATCCTTAGAATTGTGCTTTTAATCTCTATGTCACTTAATTCTGCTCTGATCATGGTTGGGAGATCTACTTGGTCTGGGCTGTCCTTGTTGTTGTTCCTCGAGTTCTTGCAGGCATAGGGTTATTAGGTTGTTTGTTTGAAATGTTTCTGTCTTTTTTAGGTAGGCCTGTATTGCTATGAACTTCCTTCTCAGGACTGCCTTTGCTGTGTCCCATAGGTTTTGGGTTGTTGTGATTTCATTTTTATTTGTTTCCCGAAACTTTTTGATTTCTTCCCTAATTTCATTCTTGACCCATTCATCCATTCTTTTACGGCATGCCATTCAATCTCCATGATTTGGGGGGTTTGGGGGTTTTTCCTTGATGTTGGTTTATAGTTTCAGTCCCTTGTCGTCAGAGAAAATGCTGTGAATGATTTTGATTTTCTTGAATTTGTTGAGGCTTGTTTTGTGTCCTATCATGTGGTCTATCTTTGAAAATGTTCCATGAGCATTTGAAAAGAATGTTTATTTAGCTTCTTTGGGATGAAGGGCTCCGTATATATTAGTTAAGTCCATTTCATCTAGGGCGTTGTTCAATGCCACAATATTTGTTGATATTTTGTTTGGAAGATCTGTCCATTTTTGACAGAGGGGTGTTCAAATCCCCTACTATAATTGTGTAGCTGTCAATATCTTTCTTGAAATCCTCTAAGATTTTCTTTATATATTTGGGTGCTCCTATGTTGGGTGTATATATATTTACAATGTTTATGTCTTCTCGGTGGATTCTTCCCTTAAGTATTATAAAGTGACCTCTGGGTCTCTCTTTATAGCCCTTTTTTTGAAGACTATTTTGTCTTATATGCATATTGCTACCCCAGCTTTTTTTTCTTGCCTGTTTGCTTGGAAAATCTGTTTCCAGCCCTTCACCTTTAGTCTGTGATGGTCTTTTGTCCTGAGGTAGATTTCTTGTAGGCAGCATATGTGTGAGTCATGCTTTCTTATCCATTCAGGTAGTCTGTGTCTTTTGATTGGAGCATTTAATCCATTTATGTTTAATGTTATTATTGATAGGTACTTATTCATTGCCATTTTTGTACCTGTGTTCCTCTCTGTCTCTCTCTTTTCCTTTCTTTCCTTAAAGCAGTCCTTTTAGCATCTCTGGCAGAGCTGGTTTGGTGGAGGCATATTCTTTTAGATTTCTTTTGTCTTGGAAGGCCTTTATTTGGCCTTCTATCTTGATTGAGAGCCTTGCTGGGTAAAGGAGCCTTGGTTGCAGGCCTCTGGTTCTCATGACTTGGAATATTTCTTGCCATTCTCTTCTTGCTTGGAGTGTTTCCATTGAGAAGTCAGCAGCTAACCTTATTGGAGCTCCCTTGTATGTTACTTCCTTTTTTGTCCCCTGTTGCCTTTAAGATTCTCTCTTTGTCTTGGAATTTTGCCATTTTAATGATGATGTGTCTTGAAGTGGGCCTCTTTGGGTTCCTCTTGATTGGGACTCTCTGTAATTCCTGGATTTGTGTGAGTTTTTCTCTCATCAAATTAGAGAAGTTTGTCATCATTACTTTTTCAAATAGGTTTTCTATCCCTTGTTCTTCTTCTCCTTCTGGTATTCCTATTATTCAGATATTATTACATTTCATATTGTCTCGCATTTCTCTTAATCCCTCTTCATTCTTTCTGGGACTTTTTTCCTTTTCTTGCTCATTCTGGGAGTTTTTTTGTACTTTGTCCTCCAGCTTGCTGGTCCGATCTTCTGGTTCATCAATCCTGCTTTTGATTCCTTTCACTCTGTTCTTCAGTTCAGAAATTGTATTCTTCATTTCCTCTTTGCCTTTCCTCATAGTTTCTATTTCCTTTTTCATGTTGATATAATTTGCGGTGGGTTCATTGTAGCTCCCCTGTAGTTTCTGTTAGCTCATTGTGAGCTCTTTGAACTTCCTGATAACCAGTGCTTTGAATTCAATATCTGATAGTTGACTTGCCTCTATTTCATCTAACATTCTTTCTGAGGTTTCCTCCTTTTCTTTCATTTGCGAATTGTTTCTTTGTCTTCCCATTGTTCGTGAGACTCTTCTTGTTAGTTTCAGGTTCTTAAATTGATCTGTTTTGACTCCCCGGGTTTATGGTGTGAACTTCTGTGGTAGAATTCCTGTGGAATTCAGTGGTGCAGTCTCCTTCGGTTATCCTGGTGTTCTCCGCTTCCACCTATTCTTGTGTGTGTGTGTGTGTGTGTGTGTGTGTGTGTGTGTGTGTGTGTGTGTGTGATCAGTTGGAGGGGGAGGCAGAGTGGTTTGTGACAGCGAGAGAGTATTTTATGACATTTAGAGTCACAGCTGGTAGAGAAGAGATAGAAGATCTTTAGGCTCTATATAGTGTTAACCATAATCTTCAACCCACCTTGACACTTTTAAGAAAGGATGGACAAAAGATAAGTCTCTCGTTGAGGAGGGAAGTCTTGTGAGTTGTATCTAGAAAATAGTGAGGTTGTGGGAGGTCAGATTCTGAGGTAAGGTAAGAGTAAAGGATAGTAAATAGGTGTAGTGTGTGAGCAAATAGAGTTAATCACTACAGTAATAGAATTCAGGAAACTGTGAAGTGGGCTAAGATCCCAGAGATGTGTTGTGAAGTATTTACAGTTGTATAGAACAGCAATTATTTACAATTATATTAGAGCAACAATAATATGACAGACTCTATGTGATATATAACATGAATAGGAGTATAGAACTTTGGGTAGTGTGCTGAACGAAAACAAGTGGTGTGAAGTGTAGAAAATTGGCAGTACACTGTGGAGGAGAGAAGAGGGGAAATCTGTCAAATGATACAATATAACCTGCCAAGGCAAAGAAGCATATACAGAAAGAGGAGGAATACAAAGATACTATTAAAATATAAAAGAAGTGAGAATAATGAAAAAATAATAATAATCCAAATATGCAGCAACTTGTGGCTTCTCTGCTTTAGCAAAGTGAAATTTGTCTCTCTGTCTCTACTGTTGGGATGCCCCTCTTTGGGTCCAACCCTGGTCTTTCTGCAGCTCCAAGTTGTTTGTGTTACTTGTGGGTAAAAGAAAAACAACAACAACAAAAATAGGAGAAGGGAGGAAAAAGCGGTAAGTTTGGAAAGAAAGGAAGAAGGAAGAAACTAGGAAAGAAGAAAGGAGAGGAAAAAAGTATTGAAAGATAAAGCAATAATAAAATTTAAAAGATACAAGATTACTTTAAAAAAAGGGAAAACAAAAAAACATCTTATTGGTTTTACACTGGCCAAACCAGTTTTACTGGCTACAGTGGTGAGGGGTGATTCCTGTGGTCTTTCGGGGAGCGCTCTCCCAAGAGCTAACCTCATGCATTTCCCCAGCGCCCCACCAAGGGGGTCTAGGTTCTTTTCAGAGCACTTTCCCTGGGGGTCCTCGCTGTGGGCTGGGGTGCAGCGCCCGCGTGCCAGCCAGGCTGTTCAGGTCCCATGGGATCTGGCACGGTCCTTCCCAGTTCTGTGGGGGATGGCTTCCTCCCATCCTCTGGATCACTGCCAGGCTGGGTGGGGAGCGGGACATGTGGCTGTCACAGAAGAATCCTTCAGTTTACTTTCCAAGAAATTTCTCAAGAAAGCCTGCCTCTCAGCCCAGCCTAATCTCCCAGCCAGACCAGTGACTATCAGAGTCAGAGCCCAGCAATGCGCCTCTCAATTCTCCCGGGCTGGTGACCACAGAGTCTGTGGTTGAACACAGCCCTTTGTCCTTGTACCCTCCCTGTGAACTCAAGCAGACAGGTCTCTGCCCGGTGTTGCTCAACCTTGCTTAGACAGGGAGGGAGGGAGCTGATGACCTGGCTCTTTCCCAAGGACCCTGCAGCAGGCCCAAGGCTCCCAAAGAGTCTGCTGTAGACCCGCTGGGCACTGGGGCTCCCGTACTGGGCGCTGGGCGCTGGCCAAGGCCGCTGCTGCTCTTGTCTTTGCTCCAGTCCCTGAGTCTCTATTGACCTGCAGGTGTCTCTTTACCATCTGGTTTTTCCATGTTTGTTACAATTTCTGCGCTCTTATTTTCATACATGCTGGGGAACTGTTGGCTGTTTGCGCTGTTCCTCTGTAGATTGGCCAGGATTCTCTCCCATGTGTGCGGGAAATGGAATCCGCTCCTTCCTACTTTGTCACCATCTTTTCTCCCTCTGTTTGGTTTGCTTTTTAATAGCACTTTCCAGAAGCTTGTGTATGGAATTGATGATAAAAATCACTTAAAAAGAAAATTGGCCCTGGCTGGCGTAGCTCAGTGGATTGAGTGCGGGCCTGCGAACCACACAATCGTGGTTCGATTCCTAGTCAGGGCACATGCCTGGGTTGCAGGCCAATTCCCAGCAGGGAATGCACGAGAGGCAACCTTACATTGATATTTCTCTCCTTCTCTCCTTCCCCTGTAAAAGATGAATAAATAAAATTTAAAAAGAAAAAAATTGAACTGCTTCCCAAGTTTGTTGAGGCTTTAACTTCCCAAACCAATTTGAAATTGGAGATACTTGTCAAAGTTATCTGTTAATAAAGAATTTCCTTAATATTTCAAGTACTACACATTTACATTATGAAATGATTTCGGAATGACAACAAAGTATAATTATTAATTATGTAATTGTTATTTTCCCTGCACAGAAGGAAGTATATACTGGTTCAGTAGTTTTTCTAAGGTTTTTCTTATTAATTACAAATTTTATTTTTATATCTTTCTATTTAGAGATACTTTAAATATTTTTGTGCAACAAAGGATAAAATAGACCTATAGTGGCATTATCTGCCTGTTATAAAACCCATTTTACTTTATAAAGAACTTTCCTTATTTTATAAAGTGATGGTTTTCCTCATCAGTCACCTGATGACCATCTGTACTTAAGTGTCTTTGGGCATTCGGCATCATGGTACAAAGTAAGGTCAGAGAGCCAGATGATAATTCTGGTTATTAACATTAGTGTTTCAAAACTGTCTAGATTTTGCTCTGAGTTTTGTGGCTCAGCTGCTTGGGTGTTGTACTGCAAAGCGGAAGGTCTCTGGTTTGATTCCTAGTCAGGACACGTGCTTAAGTTGCCGCTTCAGTCCCCAGTCGGGGTGCATGCGAGAGGCATCCAATGTTTTTCTCCCTCTCTTTCTCCTTCCCTTCCCATGTCTTTAAAAAAGAAACAAACAACCCTGTCTCAATGTTTTCCCTCTGTTTTTCAATTCTCCAGGTGTCCCTGTTGCCTGAGAATGACAGATGGAATGAAACCAGAGCTCAGCTGCTTGCACAAATGGATGTTAGTATGGGGGGAAGAGTGGCAGAGGAGCTCATATTTGGAACTGACCACATTACAACAGGTCGGCCGTGGCAAGTGGCTTTAGTTCAAATTATGTAGCTTGGTTTAGAGATATTCTTAAAGTTGACTTCTATGTATATTTTTAAATTTTTAGGTGCTTCCAGTGACTTTGATAATGCAACTAAAATAGCAAAGCGGATGGTTACTAAATTTGGAATGAGCGAAAAGGTATTGGCTAATTTTAATTGTCCTCCTGTCTCCAATGATAGGTGCCAAGTCCTCTGTGAGGGAGGGTTCTCATTATTAATTGATAACATTTACTTGCCTCTCTCTTGTTCCAAATGTATTTGTCCCAGCTTATTTTAACTAAACCTTCTTTTCTAAGTAATCACATGTGGCATTGTTTCTATTCCAGCTATTCCAACAGTAACAGTTGTTACTTCATGAGTTAACCAAAGATAAGACAAATTATGTACTTGTTACTGTTCATATGACATGAAAGACCTACTCGCTGAGTTTGCCATACTTTAACCCTTTGCATGTATTTCACTCTTTTACATTATCACTGTAGTTTCAGGAAGCAATCCTAATACTCTGAATTGTAGGTTTCTGCACTTGGACTAGCTGCCCAGGTTGTCTAAGAAGGCACTCACAATGGTTTTAAATGTTCTATCTTGCTCACTCTCTAATTTTAGTCATATACTTTCAAAAGAATGATGGCATTTCCTCACCCTTTAGGCCATTTTTATATTGAATTTCTTCTTTGCCCCTACCCCTCTGAAATTTGTTTTCTTATGTATAGGATAGTACTTCCTCTGTTACATTTGTGTTTGGGCGTTTTTATTTTTTGTTGTTCAATTTCTTCCCATTCATTTTAGCTTGGAGTTATGACCTACAGCGATACAGGGAAACTGAGTCCAGAAACGCAGTCAGCTATTGAGCAAGAAATCAGAATCCTTCTGAGGGTAATGATTGTACTTTTCTGTGCTTTTTATTTAGCCATCATGTGCCTAAGTATTTGGTTGCTTATCAAATGATAACTGAAGGCTTTTGTGCTTGGAAATATGACTGTATGTAATAAAGATAATAGATGCACCATTGCAGTCATGACTTAAATATGTTGCTAGAGAACCTCTGGTCATAGACTAGATATTAACTTTATTCTGACCATAGGCTAAGAACAGTTTATATCAATGATTGTTAATACTCAGTTTTTCTTTATCTTCAAAACCAAAAGAGATGTTAGAATTGGAGATATTGATTATTGAGTCTTACTGTTCTCTCATTCTGACACATATTCAATCACACATTATTTGCTTGTGCCTAGCAGTGTACATGTGCCAAGAACACAGAATAAGCAAAACAAATGTCCTTTTGACTGCAGTGTCCAATACAGATGAGGGCAGAAGAATGTGTAAGAGTAGATTCAATGAGATCACTTAAGTACCGTGGTAATCTAGTCATGGTGTAATGGATACTTGGATTAGGTTGGTGAAAAGTGGAAACTGAGAAACATGGGTGGGTCAAGATACATTAATATAGTGGAATCAAAATGCCTTTGTGATGTTTTGGGTGAGAGAGAAGCTAATTCAGTCTAAAACTGTAAATTTTTTTTAGATTCTGCCTTATGTAGCTATTTAGTTGTATCATTTACTGAGCAAACACCGGTGACTAAGGCTGGGAAGGATATAGATCCTGAGTTCAGTTTCGTACTTGTTAAACTGGAGATGTCTTAGTGACGATTAGCAGAACGGAGAGCTATGTGGGTCTGGAGCGAGTTCAGAGGTTGGATATGTGTCCACTTGGGCACGTGTGAAGGCAGGTCTGAGAGTGGAGGAGGAGCCCTGGCGGAGTGCCAGAAGTCCTTAGTGAGTGAGGACTCAGGTGGCACAGTGAAGGTGTTGGGGGCGGCTGTAGTCAGATAGTATGAACCTCAGAGGAATGGTGCTTGACAGAAGGCGGTAGTCTAGTAATGGTCTGGAAGGGTTGATGGGAACAAAGGGCTCACCTCTTTACCCTGAAGCATCTGGGATGAGAGGAAGTAACTGCCATTTGGGGTTTTAGAGAAAGCTGTCTCCCCGGGAGGGCCAAGTTCTGATGAATTCGAGGGAGGCAGAAGGAATGCTTTAGAGTAGTTAAGGGTGTGGGGAGTTTATGTAATGGAAAAGTTTAGAAGGTGTTGCAGAAGAAGTCTCTGACTTTCTGGAATCTTAATTCTCTGTTTCTTACTATTTATGTTATTCTGAGTAACTTACTCTGCACTGTGGTACCTAGAACATCAGAAATACTGTTTCTCTGCTTTCATATATTTCTGAAAATCCAGAACACAAAATGGCAAAAATCGGGTTCTTTACTTTTAAATCACAGATTGGGAAGCAGTAGGTGCTCCTTCCACTCGCCGAGTTTACGTTGTTATTACGGGGACATGATTACGAGTTAATAGTATTTCAGGTTCAGATGTAGTAATTGCATTATGTTTATATGACCTATGCTTTTTGGTGTTAGTAAGTTCACTTTTACATTTTCCATCCAGTTGTCTAAGGGCAAAAATACGATTAAGTACCCAGATACTTGCAAAAACACTGTGCAGACAAATGTGGCACTGCCAGAACCGAACTGTTAGTAGTGGTCACACTTATGGCCTAATGTATTTAATCCAAACTCGAATTTGGAAAGAGAATTGAAGGATTTAAGTGACAAATTCAAGGTGGGTTAAAAAAAATATGCATTTAAATCAAGGACCAGCTGCAATAATACTGTTAGAGTTGTCACGTGTGGACAGGGGAGTATATTACCAAGTAAACAAATGGACAGGTGGATCTTTTCTGGCCATTCTAGATAAAATGGTGAAATCAAGAGGCAAAATGATCAAATTTCCTTCTTTTTAAACATACATGTTGAATAGAGAAATAGATTTCTGTCTTCATAGTCATAATTTAGAAAGCAGATAAGTGGAGAGTATACTTTAATTTTTTTAAGTGACTTTTTGTCTCAGGTAATATTTTTCTATGTGATGGATTTTACAGTTCAAAATGGAACACTTGAAAAATACGAAAGAGTTATCTTTGGTAATCAAGCTTTAAATGCTTTTATCTTTTATAAGTAGATTTCTCATTTTTAGGGTATATAAAGTTTTTTTTCTCATTGCAGTTTTTGCTTGTAAGTTTTTTGCCTCTTACATATCTGCTTTTCTGTTTTAGGACTCATATGAACGAGCAAAACATATCTTGAAGACTCATGCAAAAGAGCATAAGAATCTAGCTGAAGCTTTATTGATCTATGAGACTTTGGATGCCAAAGAGATTCAAATTGTACTTGAGGGGAAGAAATTAGAATTAAGATGATAGATCTCTTGAGATGCGTACATTGCTGGTTTTACCGCAAAAATATAAGTAGCATTGCAGTAAGCTCCTTTCGCAACATTTTTCTCCTATTCTTGATGTACTACCGCTCAAGGATGTGAAACCCATTGTCAGCCTTTTGTCACATTTGTCTAATTTTGGTTATTCTCATGATACATGCAGCAAACTATCAATCCATTAGCAAATATGTTAAAGAAAATAAAGAACTATCAGGATTGAAAACAGCTTGTCTGAGAAATGTTCGTCAGTTATTAAGTTGCACACATGTAACGATTTTATGGTCTGTTACTCCACTAGATGTAAATAAAATTGTGCCTTTAGCTCCTTGGAAGTGTTTTTACTTAGCAAAATGAAATTGTCGAAGAATTGTCCTTATTTCTAGATAGTGCCATTGATCTTAGACAAAGAAGTGCTGTTTGGCTGCTGGTAAACCGTATTTCTACATACATCAGTGGAAACTTCATGAAGATGCACTTAATTATGCTCCAGGTTGTCCATATATAAATGTTTTTTAAAAATCTCAAGAATGGAGAATCGTTAATGTGTAGATACAATCAGAATGTTCCTGATTATAAACTTAAAGTGCAGCTCTCATTCTCACGGTTCTTGTTAACCCTGTCATGCTAATGAAGTTTATTTCCGAGTGGCAATATTTTGTTAAATAAGAAAGTAGCATTTCAAATTCTGAATAACTGTATAATTATGCTTGGTATTAAAAGTAAAATTAGACTGAAATCTCAGTCCCCTTCAAAATGAACTTTTGGATTACCCTGTGTCAGAAATGGAAAATTGTGTGTGTTTTTCATTCCGATTTTGTGAATATGAACATGTTGTTGCAGGACTTTCAGATAAATTTATTTCACTCAATAGAAAAATTATTTTAGGGTACATTGTATTGGTTTTTATATTTAACCAAATTATATTCTCAAAGCGATTTTATTAAAATTACCTATAGTTTTCTAATAACTTTTAAGCTGTATATGGTCTTCATTGTAAATGTTGATAGGAGGAACTTGCCACATGACAATCTTGCCCCTTTTTAACATAATTTTAAATTTTGATCTAACTTCAGACTTATAGAAATGTTACCAGAATAAATAGAAGGCACTTCCATACACACTTGACACAGTTTAATAAATTGTGTTCATTTGCCTAATTTTTTTTATTGCCAGCTTTCTTTTCCTCTTCTCCCTTCCACTCCTTTGTGTGTGTGTATGTATGTGTGTGTGCATGTCTTTGTTGTGGATTCATGTTTCATTTTCCTGGATAGACTTGTAAGATCAAAACTGAGAAGTCATGTAGTAAGTTTTACTGACTGAGGAACTGATTTCAAAGTAACTAGACAATGTGATGTTCCATTCACCAATGTTTGAAGTTTCCAGTGACTCCACATCTTATACAGTAATTCTTATAGTCTGTCTTTTTGATAAGGCAATTCTAGTGGATATGAAGTAGTATCTCATTGTGGATTTAATGTACGTTTTCCTAGCACAAGTGATGTTAAGCACTCTGTCTTATGCTATTTGCCAGTTGTATATCTTTGGAGACATAGCTATTCAAATATATGACCCTCTACCCCTTCAGAGGTTGTTTGAGTTATGTATTTTAAGAAACCATGTATTATGAATACATGTCCTTTACCGGCTGAATCTTAACTTCTTTTTATAATCTTCACCCAAAGATATGTATATTGATTTTAGAGGGTTTTAGAGAAACACTGATGTGAGAGAGAACATTCGTTGGTTTCCTCCTGTATGTGCCCTGACTGGAAATCAAACCAGTAGCCTTCTGGTGTGCAGGATGATGCTCTAACCAGCTGAGCCACCTGGCCATGGTTGGATTTGCCTTTTTAGAATCTACTCTCACTGTGTCCTTTTATTTGAGCTGGGGATGTAATTCATTCATATTTAATATCGATAAAGTTGCTTTTGATGTGTTACCTGTTTTTGGTTTTTATCATTGCCAAAGAGATCCCTCTGTTCCTCCTTTTTTGAGTTACATTTTAGTGGTTGCTCTGGAGATGATAATATGCATCAAATTATCACAAAACAATATTTAATTCTGGTTGTACTAACTTTGCTCTCGTATATCTTCTTTGTGCTGTTAGTGCCATTTGTTATATCTCTATCTGTTAGAATTCAGCCATACAGATAACTACTGCTTTATAGAATTTTATATCTTCAGTTCTTGGGAATGTCTTTATTTTGCCTTTTAAAAAAGAATGCTGAATATTGAATAATACATGGTCAGACAGTTCTTTTCTTTAATCACTTTAAATATGTTATCCTACAGAGTCCTCTGACGTCCATTATTTTTGATAAGTCATCTGTTAAACAAAGCTGTGGTCTTTGGTGATTAATTACTTACTCTTGCTTTTTTTTTTCTGTTGTTTTTACGATACTTTTTATGATACTTTTTAGCCTTGTCTTTTAGTAGTTCGACTATGATATAATTAGGTGTAGATATTTTTGTGGGTTTTTTCTTGTTTTTTCTGAGCTTCTTGGATCTGTAGATAAATATTTTTCATCAGATTTGAGAAGTTTTTAACAATTATTCCAGTATACTTAACTACCCTTTATTTTCTCTCTTCTCCTTCTGGAATGGTCCTTCCACGTGTGTTGACACATGTGGTGTGATCTGGTCTCTCAGGCTGTGTTTCTGGTTTTTGTTGTTTTCTCTTCAGATTGAATAATTTCTGTTGATTCTTCAAGGTCACTGAATTCTTCTAGCATCTCAAATCAACTGAACTTTTCATTTCAAATCATTTTATTTTTCAGCACCAAATTCTAATTTGATCTCTCATATACTCTGCTTTAGTTGAGATTCTGCATTGCATTATTTTCATCAAAGCTTTTATTCTTAAAATTGTTTTAGTTTATTGATTTTAGAGCGGAAAGGAGAGAGAAACAGGGATATGTCGTTCCACGTATTTGTGCACTCTAGGTCAGTTCACTCTTGGTCAGTTCTCGTGTATGTTTCAAGGATGGAACATGAGACCCTGTATCAGTACAGTGCTCTGACTTAGTGAGCTATATCCTTAGGGTGTTTTTCGTTAATTCTTAAACATGACTTCCATTAGTTCTTTGAACATGTTGGTAATAGCTGCTTTTAGGTCTGTGATAAATCCAACATCTGGAGTAGATACACAGTTTGTATTTTCTTCCTTAGTAAGGGCCACCCTTTCTTGTTGGTAATCTTGAATTTCAGGTAATGTTGCAAATAAGGAGTGTGATTAACTTTGTAGAGGGGGGTTCTTGCTTTATTTTATAATTTGCCTCCAGTCAATCTGTGAAGTCTGTCCCTACTAGAGTGTGCAGCTACTCATGTCTCTGTTCATTTTTTAAATGTTTAAATCTTGTTTCCTAAGATTTGCAACCGTGTCTGCATAGCTTAGCATTTTTGCCAAAGATCGAACTCCATCTGTCAGGCCTTCTACTCTGCTAATGTTGATTGGCAAGTACATTCATTGTTCGGGTCATTTTCAAGTCAGCCCTGGTTTTGTACATCCCAAAGAATGAGTGAATCAGCTGTGGAAAAGCTCTCAATATGTTTCCTGAAAACTTAGAAGGACAAAACATTAATGACAGGCTTTGAACTGGAATTAGAAAACTTGCCAAGGGTATCCATCTCAGTAGTTTTACATCATAAGACAAATAGCATTCTACACATTATTAATTCCATTAGCAGAACTTAAAAGGAGTGCAGGAAGGCTAAATTGGGGCATTGAGTTTTAGAGAGGCATGAGACTTCTAAACAACTTTCTACAGGGCATCTGCACTGGATCTGAGACTAGTTTCCCATTCCCACTCTTGGAAATCTTAACTTTTCAATTGCTTGTAAGAAACTTGGTATCCAGGTAGCATTTGACTAAGGAACACAGAAGCTCAGAGTTGGCCTAACATAGACTCCCTAAGTTTCTTTGGTCCATGCAAAAACACTAGGGTCAACCAAATATCTATGACTGACCTGGAGTCCTGATGTGTGGCTCCTCTGCAGCCTGGTGATGTTTTTGACACTCATTATAGGCTGCCTCTGGGAATGTCAGCGTTTTCAGATGTCACTAGAGAGCCTTTACTGGTGTGAGGAGACAAGTAGGATACACTTTCTGAGTTGGGCTGCTGTATGAAGCGAATGCTTGGTGATCATAGTTGAAACCACACACACCAAAACCATTTGGTCTAGCTAAGCTGAATAGACCTGAGAAATTTTTGTTCATTGTTTTTTTGTTGCTGTTTTTAACCAATGAAGGAACTGGTCCTTCAGCAAGGACCCCAGTACTGTCCAGCAGCAATCCTGAAAGTCCAAGCACTAAGCTGAGTTGCTAATTCCAAACAATTTTGCAAGTTAGTCAACCAATGAACAAAATGGCAATAAATGGCTTTTGAAGAATAAGTACCTAAGTTAATGTTTATGCATTTGTCTTCTATAAAAATATGGCTGCCAAAGTTTCCAATTTTGTGTGGTGTTTGTTTCTGTTACATTTCATTTTGGTTAGCTCTTACAGTCATTAGCCAACTATATAGCCTGGTGAGTTCTGAGTGACCTGGGGTTTTGCATGAGCCGCTGTTCTGGGCCTGTTCCTGTCCTGTTCCTGTTCCTGTTCCTGTCTGCTTCACCCACAGTACCAGGTATAGTCCGATTGGAATTACTAGGTCAAGAACTGCATTAAAAGGAATTTCTGTATACACTCATGTATTTATCCCAGTTTCTGTGGAGTATGGAGTCAACATATTTTGACTTCCTAAGAAATGAAATAAAGATGGAAAGACAGGAGTTGCTGATAAGAGAAAGATGGAAGTGGAAGTGAGTATTTAGATTTCAAGTTTGCAAGCTTTAAAGAATGTGGAACATGTGAAGAGCACAAGAGGCTTCATAATGATGAAGACAAGATTGTACAAGGTTAATAAGCAAATTACTTAAAATTTTGGCTGATGGAATTTGAGGAAAATTAGCTATATTACATGTTCATTTTTTCTAAAGCTCATCAGTACAAACAGCTCATGTTTTTATTTGACTTTTTAAAATCTGCATCGTACCATCCTCAATATTACATCTTTCTGGTGGAATTTTTACGACCTAGTTTGCCCTTCCTGAGAACCTGCCACACATAGACTGTCATCTCCTCCAGTTACAAAATTATAGCTTGAAAAAGTTCCAGTCTGGTCAAATGCACTGATATCAAAACAATAATCATTGATAAATTATAATGGAAAAATATATGATTACAAGAAAAATGAAAAATCCCTGATATGTCTAGAAGTGAGCAGGATTTGCTTAAAAAATTACCAAAAGCTGTTGAGGAATGTATAATAAGACTTATGTATCTGGATACACTGATTCAAGAGATTTTCAGTTAAAATTAATTCTCAAGCTAATTAAAATAATATTTTTAAACTTGGAGTACTGATTAAGAATTCATGTCAAGTATTAAGGCAAACATTGCCAAGAGAATACTGAAAAGGATAGTGAGGAGGGGAAACTTTGGAACTAGTATTAAGTACATTTTATAAAGTAATTGAAATAGCGAGGTACTGATGCAAGAAGCAGGAGATCA